CCCACGGCAAAGGCAAGGCGCTCCGCTTGCTCTTGCTGTCCGGTCCCCCTTGGTCCCAGAAAAGACTGCCCTCCTAGCTCAGAGCCCACACCCAGTCAGGACTTGCACGGGGCCCTGGACACAGGGGATGCCCCCGCCAGCACGTCCCCTCCCTGACACAGGCTCCCCGCCTCGCTCGCCTCTGAGGAAGGCTGGCAGCCTGACCCCCCTGCCTGTCTTCAGTGAGGCTGTCTGGCACGAGCCCGTGTCATTGTCGCAAGGCAGGCCCGAGGGTCCAGCCCCCTGTGGTGCTGGGGGAGGGGGGGCGGCAGAGGAGGCTGGGTGATCTGTCCAGCGAAGGAGCCCTGCAGCCCCCATGACCCCAAGCCTCCACCCTGACAGGCAGAGAGCGGCGGCACCCCCGGAGGGAAGGTCTATCAGGCCAGAGGAGGGGCTCCCTTTGCTCGGCCAGCAGCCTGAGCGAGTGCTGGAACCAGAGGGAGCCCAGGTGGGCTCCGCGGGCGCTACGAGCCTGCAGGCTGCCTGCTGTCCGGCCTCACCCGCAGGGGAGCCACACTGGCCCTTGCCGGTGACCTTGGAACACCTTCCTTCACCCAGGCATCCATGCCCCCCACTCTTGCAAGTACCGGCCCCGCCCCCGGGCTCCCTGGAGAGCAGGGCCTGTGCCCTGTGCTGCCGGCCACATCCACCCAAACCACAGGAAAACCTTTGCAGAGGGGAAACTGAGGCTCGGGCTCAGCCACTTCCCCTGCACCGCAGACTCAGATGGCAGCATCACACCCCGTGGGCCCTCTCAAAGCCCGTCCCCCAGGGACCCAAACTTTACCCACCCGCCTCTTTCAAAACCTTCCTGGAGACCCACGACCCCTAGAAAGCCCTTCAGGACCGATGCCCCGCAGCGTGGGCTGGACCCTGCCTGCCTCTCCGCCACCCCACGCCCCTGCCCCAGCCCATCTGATGCTCAGCCCGGCCGTGAAGCCGATGACAGCGAGGCTTCTGCTCCCCAGCGTGTTCATGTCTGTGCTCCTAACACGGCAAGGATGGTGGGCGAGCCTGGTCCCGTGCCCTGCCCGCAGAAAGCACCAGGCCAGTGCTCCGGGCGGCAGCGGGACCCCCAAGAGGACCACCCCCCTCGCAGCTGCAGAACAGACACAGGTCACATCCCAAAGACCCAGCTCCTCCGGCCCAGGTGAGGGACCTCACGGCCACACGGCTCCCGCCTCCCAATACAAAGCTGTGAGCTGCAGGGAGGCGGCCTTCCCAGGAGGCCTCGCATCTTGCTGAACAGCAGGATGCATCATCGCTCAAGAGGCCCACGGGCGGTCATCAGGGACAGGTCTGCACCCGTCACCAAGCAACAGGCCGCGTCCCTCTGGGAGGAAAGGTGCACCTGGACCCGGCGGTTGAGGGCATCGGGGCTCCCAGATGAGCGGGCTGGTCTGCACGGTCCCATCTCCCCGCCCCCACCAGCCTGCTCTCCAGGGCCCACCTAGGAGGGTCCTCAAAGACACAGCGAAGCATCTGGAAGGGCAGACACAACCTGCAGGCGACGGGGCACCGTTGTGGGACCAGAGCACCGAGGTTCTGGGCCACGCTGAGTTTTAACAAACATCCAGCACTTGCAGGATTCCTCTGCCGCATGCAAATGCGCTCACGGCAAAGAGCGCTGGGGAGAGCGGGCCAGCAGCTGGCACTCCAAAGCGCTTTGTTACACAAAGACCGAGTCTTAAGAGCGTTCACGATAACAGGCTTGGCCCTGCTCTCACTCGAGGACACATCATCCAACGGCTCCGGGCCTCCACCGACCCAGAGTAAGATCAGGGACGGAGCCGCCCCTCCTGCCCCCTGATCGCAGGGGGTGCGGAGGCCACCTCCACCTCTAGGCCCGTTTTCATGTTGGGGGAGGGAACAAACTCTCTTAAAAAAAAAAAAAAAAAGTCACAGGAACAAAACAGAAAACCCTTTTCTTGCCCCTATATGGGTTCTCCATGGAGCCTCAAGTTCAACCTTAAAGGGAAGGCAAAGGCCAGGGTGGAAGGTTCACGCCCATGAAGGACACGGCCACCACCTCCGTGCCCAGGGCAGACCCAAACCTGACGCACACATCCACGACAGAAGACGGGCTGAATCCCCACGTCACCTCCACGTGACGGAGCCGAAGAGAGAAGGCTGCTCCCCAGGGCAGAGGGTAGATAGATGTGCCCTGGACGTGGGGCATCCGCAGATCCACACTCCCCACACACATCCACCTGGGGCAGCTCCCTGCTCTGGCCCGGACACCCGCCCCGCACCCCACCCCACCCCAGGGCCTTCCCCCCTGCCCTGCAGGGCTCCCTGCACTGGCCTAGACGGCTCCACTAGCTCCGAGCGTCCCAAAGGCACTGACCAGGGCCCTGTGGCCGCCTGGCAGGACCCCAGCCTGCTAGGACTGAACACGACCACCAGATCGCTGAGCTCTGGCCGTGGCTCTGGCCGTGGCCCCACGCCTCTGCTCTTCGCAGCAAGCACATGCCTCATGACCTCTGGAGCCTCTCCGACGGCTCCAGAACTATCAGGACGCGGTAACCGCTGAGGGGCCGGCCGGCCCCTCCCTACCCCTCTCGTCCTACCTGGCGGACACCCCAGCAGCAGGTGGGCAGCCCCACGGACACACACCGGCGCTTCTCTGGCTCCGCTCTCCTGACGCCCCGGGAAGGTCCGAACTCCCGGCGCGCCCGCCCGGCCCTCCGATCCGCTCCGAGTGGCCCCTCCTCGCGCCCCGTTCTCCAGCGGACCATCTCATTCCGGCCTCCCCCCACGTCTGCCTTGCTGCAGTATGCTCTCCTCCTACCTCCCGCAACCGAATTCCGACTTGCGCCCAAGGTCTGCCTCCTCCACAGCGACCTTTCCGGCCCGGGCTCTGCAAGATTGTATCACTCGCTGCTGTGGCTCCGGGTCTCGCGAGGTCTTCCTCCTCCGACAGCTCCTTCCCCGCATCCGCCCACCCTGGGCTCGGTCGCCAACACCCAGCTCCACTCCAAGCTCCTGGGGCACTGAGGGGGGCCATTCTGGTCCCCGAGGTGGCCGAGAAGGGCCCTCGCACACTCTTCCTCTCAGAAGCCTGGAGGGCTCAAACACCTGACTCCTGTGCCTTCAGGGCGCTCTCGACTGCCCAGAGCACACCGCGGGGAGACTGGTGTGCACGAAGCCGGAGAGTCCCCAAGAGTGAAAGCTCTTTCCCTGGAATCACAAGGCCGCCCACTGCAGCACCAGGCTGGTCTCAATGAGGCCATTGTCTCCGACCAAATGAGAGGGTCAAGAAGCCGCCGGGGAGGCAGCGCGGAGGCCGCCCGCGTCTCCAGAGGGGGCACGTCGGGGTCAGGATGGAGTTACACGTGGGGACCCCAAGGCAGAGGTGCTGTAACAGCTGTAGGACCACACCACCCCCAAGTCTCCACCTCCCCATCCGGCCTCGGGGCTACCGTGGAATCCTGCTCTGCCCCAGAAATCCTGGCGGCCAGCCTGACGTTTTCATCTCGGGGACTGGCAAGCCAGCCAACTCCCACAGGCCACCAGGCGAATGTAGCCACCGCGCGGGGCCTGAAGGGGGCAGCCGTCTCCAGACAGGCCGGTCCGTCCACCAGGACACTCAGGAGACTAAACGCCCTAAGTGCCACAGTGGGGGTCCCAAAGCAGCGGCTGCAAGACAGCGACGCTCTGGACAAGCAGATGTGAGGAGACCCCAGTATGGGCATGCTACCCCAAATGTCTGGCTCTGGAACTCCCCTAGTTCGGCGCTGGGTTCCAGAATCACAACAATGCTCCCACTACTGAGCCCGCCAACAGCGGGTGCATCCTCCGCATGGGTGTGCCGGACGCTACACCCCAAGCCTGCTGGTGTCCTGAAACCCCTGCTCAAGCCAGCCCAGGCCCAACCCTGACCCACAGCCGCTAGGGCTCCGCTGGGGATCCCGCCAGGCTCTGGTCCCCAGGCGTGCGCCCGCAGACGCGGCTGACCCCACGAAGAGCATGAGTACCGCAGAGCTCCGGACACTCGGATGCCAGCCCTGGCTCTGCCCACGGTGGCCGGGGGCGCTCCAGGCTCGGCCTGGCACCTGGACGTCCAAAACTCCTCCCAGCCTAGCCTCCCCAAGGCCGGGCCCACCGGAGGGCTCTGGCGGAGGCGCCCGGGAGCCCCTCCGAGGGGCGTGGGCTCCAGGTCCCAGCAGAGGTAGGCCCGCCCCTCAGCAATCCGGCCCCAGGAGCGCCGCCGACTATTGTATTGTGTGAGCTTCCCTCGCGACCGCTTTATTTACTCCCCAGGACGCAGGACGCAGAGCCACAGGCGGTCACGAGGACGCACGAAGGCGCGCACACACACAGAGGCTCGGGGCTGGGAAGCCCCGCGCCCTCGGAGGGCAAAGCCCCCTAAGTTTCGGCACATTCTGTAAACCTCGAAGGGGGGAGGGGACCAAAATGCGCTCCCTACCGGCACACAGGCCCCAACTCCAGGAGGCGGAAGGGGGGTGTCCCCAGGCCTTGCTGGGGGCCCCAAAGGCGCCCCCCTCTAGACTCCGCCGGCTCGGGGCCGTGTCCGCTCGGCGGCCTTCCCGAGCCGGAATTCGGCTCGGCCGGGGCCCCCGAGGCGGGTGTGGGGGAGGGCGGCCACGCTCGGGGCAGGACGCAGGGGCGAGGGACCGGCTCCCCGACCCGCCGCGGGGCCGCGGGGGCCCGAAGGCCGACGGGGAGCGCCGGAGGGAGGGGACCGAGTGACCGCCGAGGGGGAGCCGCAGGCCCGGGCGGGTGCCGCGGGCGCCCCTCGAACCTTCGAGGGGGCTGTCGCCGCTCGGGCAAATACAATAAAAGGAAGGAAGCCGGGAGTCAGCACGGGGGCCGCCGAGGCGCGCGGCTCCCCGACCCGCGTCCTCCACGTAGGCGACGCGGGCGCGGGATGGGAGGCGCGCGGCGGCAGGGCGCCCCCTCGGGGGTCCCACCGGCCCCTCCGCGCGCCCGGCACCCACCTTCGAAGTCCGAGATGATCCCGTCCAGCTGCGCGTTGACCGCGGGGTCGGACATGGTGGCTGGCGCGGAGGGCGGCGGCGAGGAAGCGCCCCGGCGGCCCGGGCCCTGCGCCCGCGCTCCCGCCGAGCAGAGCTGGCCGCCCGCGCCCCTCGGCCCCCGGGCTCCGCTGAATGAATGGGGGAGGCGGGCGGGCGCCGGGCCTCGGCTCCCCGCGCCCCCGCCCCGCCCCGCCCCCGCCGCCCGGGCGGATCAGGTTCCCGCACCCGGCCCGGCCTCCGCGGCTCGCACTGGCTGCTCCGCCCGCCCGTCAAGGCCTGGCTCTGGGGTGGGGGTGGTGGAGGGCTGGGGCCCGAGCGGCCGCCGCGGGGACAGGCCGAGTCCTGGGCGCGCGACCCGGCGCCCCGCTCCGCCCCGCCTGGCCCCGCGCCCCGGGACGGCGACCGACGCGGCCCGGCCCCTCCCCCCCGGACGCCCCGCCGCGGCCAGATGTGGGCGGATGTGGGGGCCGGGCGGCGGCGCGGGGCGGCGCCGAGGGGGGAAGAGATTCCTCCCCTTCCCTGGGGCGCAGGGTTCCTCCTGCGGGAGGTTTTATTTACGCAGCCAAACAAAGTTCACCGCCGCCGCCGCCTTCCCGCGCTCAGTGCCTGCAAGGGTTAAGCGCCGGGGCCGGCGGGCCGGGACCCCCGCCCGTTGGCCGCGAGCCGCGGGAGTCACGTGGCCAGGCAGGAGGTCCAGCCCTCCGGCTACTCCCCACCCGACCACCCGGGGGTGACAGAAAAGGTGCCAGTCTCCCGGGGGCGTGGGGCAGGGAAGGAGTGCCCAGGCCAGAACAGCCAGGGTCATGTGCCACCCCCGGCCGCCGCCCCAAGGGCCTGCTTGGCGGCCCAGCGTAGACCCCGCTCTTCCCCCTCGGAAGGCCGAGATACTTCAGAGTATCTGAAGGAAGGGGTTCCGGAATGGGAGGCAAGGGGGCTCCCCATCTCCTCCGGGCCTGGGCCTCTGGCGGGGCCTTTGCCCTCCGGGACACAACTTCTGCACGTCTCCATCCGTTCCCAAACCCCGATCAAATGCCATCAGCCACCAGGAAGGCAGGCAGGTCCTCCCAGAGGCTGGGGACCACAGAGGGGGTTGGAGCTTGAGAGGGAAGCGGGCAGAGCCCCCAGGGCGGCTTCCAGGTGTCGCACCTACACCCTCCCCCTCCAAGCGGCAGGTGGGTGCCTGGGAGCCCATCCTGGGTCGCAGGCTGGTGACTGCTCCTCCTCTCCCATCCCCTACCCCCTGGTTCTGAAGGGTCCCAAATGTGCAGGGGGCTGGGTTCGGTGGGCTTTCTCGAATAGATGAAACCAAGTTCTTTCTTTTTAAAGAAAAGCGGTCCCTCCCTCCCTCATGCTTTGGATATTTTGAACTATTTTCAACTAAGTGAGTGTGTGGATTTGGAAGTGCAAAACCACAGACATTTCAGATGCGCAGGCACCCTGGTCCGCCCGGGAGCCCGGGTTTCAAAACCGGAGCCACCAGGGGCATTAACGGCCCCCTGACGGTTTCCACCCCGGCCCTGGCCCTTGCGAGTCTGAAAGCCTCCAACCCTCTGGGCCACCTGTGCGTCCAGCCTCTGGGCGTTTGGGGGTCCACCGCCCCTGCGAAACGGGCTAACCACACAGGCTCCTGGGACGATGCTGGCCCGTGGCATTATTCGCCAGCGTTTCTTATAAAAATAAAGCACCTGGAGAGTGTAGACACGCCTGTGTGATTGTTCTCCCTGAGAGCTGGCGTGGAGTCCCACCAGACTGGCGCAGGGGCGGCTCACTGGGCATTATTCCTTTCCATTCTCAGAGGAGCTGAGCGGGCTTATGCTTATCGCCTGGAGGAGCCCGGCCAGGGGGTCTGCCTCACCCAAATGCTGCCCTGTGGGAACACAAAGAACAATGGCAGAAGGGAGCCGACCTCCAGGCAGGCATGGCTGCTCTCTGGAGCCCATCCGGTCCAGCCCCCTGCCTCCGGTTCAACCACTGGGGCTCCCGTTGCCAAACCTTGACACCTCCAGGTATGGAGAGTCCCGGCACTCCTTCTAGAAACCCGACCGGGCGCCTGGCCACACTCCCAGCCAGGAAGTTCACCCTTGTATCTAACCAACTGCTCTAATTGTACATCATTTATTTCCTCTTTTTTTTTTTTCTGTCCTCAGAGGAGATGGGAAACAGCTGGGCGCCACCCTGCACATAATAAGCACCTTCTCCAGATTCAAGATGATGCGGCCGGCCGCTCCTCGGCCGCCTTTTTCTCAGCTTCTAGCATCCATCTGGCCTTGTCTCGGCCCTGCCTTTGATCACCTCTGATCTCTGTGTCCAGGCCTTGAGGAGGCCTGACCCTTATGGGGAGGTGAGGGGCCCCTAGCCCCCTCCTCAGGGCAGAGCAGCCCGGGCCCCGGGGCAGAAGCGACAACCTCTGCGGGGACAATGGGCAGATCAAGGCTGCGGCGGCGGCAGCAGAGAGAGGAAAGCGAGCTGAAATTTGGCAAGAAAAACAGAACTCCAAGGGCTCCGCATTCTGTGACGGTGCACTTTTCCAAAACCACGGGAGAAGGCTAGACTGTCTATAGGCCTGGCCCAAGGGGAAACTGCGGCCAGAGGGACACTGTAGGGGCCACCCGCCTCACAGTCCCCCCGTGAGACCCAACAGTGGGTGCTCGGAAAACACGCGCCCACCCGGACCTCACAATGGGACCTGATTCAGCACGAGGGTAGGTGGTTCAGGTGAGGATCTCCAGGTAGGCCACTCTGGGATTGGCTGCCCCTGAACTCAATGACGAGTGTCCTTATAAGAGGCCAAAAAGGAAGAGACACAGAGAAGGCCATGGGAAGTCAGAGGCAGAGACCGGGGAGCGCGCGCCAGGGAACACTTGGGACCCCAGAGGCTGGAAGAGGTGCGGAAGGGCTCTTCCCTCAGGGAGCAAGGCCTTACTGACGCCTTGGTTTCCAGCTTCCGGCCTCCAGAACGCGAGAGCTGACATTTCCGACATTAAGCCTTTGGTGTGTGTGGTCCTTTATAACGGTAGCCCCTGGACACTCCACGCCATCGGTGCCTCCCGAAGAGTTTCACAGACTTGAAAACCTGCTGTAGGTAAGGAACGTTGTCGGCCAGGTGGCGGTCCTGAGGGCCCTGGGGGGGCTGGGGACACTCAGGACAGCAAGCAGCACGTTTTAGTAAGAACAGCTGGGGGCCCGGGGTGGGCAAGAAGGGTGCGCTGCGAAGTGCCGTTCAGGCCTTTCTGGAAATGGGAAGAGAAACCCCACAGGTCAGGCCCTGGAGGGACGAGCCTTGGGAAAAAGAGGGAGGAAATCGATGTGCGGAAACAGCCGTTTGGCTCAAAGTCAGTATCCATGACCCCGGGCTCCCTGTGGGGCTTGGGGAGCACCGTGTGGACGGTGGCTGTTTGCCCACCCGCCCTGGGCCTTTGGACCGGACACCCTGTTAAGTGGACCAGCTGTTTCCTCCCAGACCAGGGCGGGGGCCCATGGTGTCAGCCCCGCCTGGGCCCGGGGCACAGTAGGGCCTCCCTGAGCTCCAGAGCCTTGGGACCATCGGCCCCCGGACCTTCCATGGCTCCCAAGCTCCCTCAGTCCGCCATCTTGGTAAATGGTTCCATGGTCCACCTAGCGGCTCAGGCCCAGTGTCCTGGCATCGCCCTTGGGTCCTCTGTTTCCCTCACTCCCACACCCAAGCCACCAGTGAGTTTCCATTTCCAAAATATCTGTAGGCGCGGCTGCTTTTAACCTCAAGTGCCTCCAGCACGGGTCTGGCAACCCCCTCCGGTCGTGTACACTCCCCAGTGTTTAATAACCGGCCGGTATTTAACACGGCGTAGCCTTCCTACCATACAGATAAGGCAGAGATGTGGAGCTCCAGGACCCAGAGGATAGAGTAAAACATAGTAAACTACTTAGGAAGCGTGGTTCTGTGTTACCTTTGTCTTTGACACGATTACTTGTAAGTGATTCGTATTATATAAATTTAACAGATGATTTCGTAATGCGAGGTTTCTAACAGGGCGATGCATTTTTTTTTATTGTGCTAAAATACACATAATGTAAAGTCCATCATTTTAACCACTTTTTTTAATGTTTACTTTTGGGGGGGGGGGAAGAGTAGAGAGAGAGGGACAGAGGATCCAAAGCAGGCTCTGAGCTGTCAGCATAGATCCCGACGCGGGGCTCGAACTCACCAACTGCAAGATCGTGACCTGAGCCCATATGGGACGCTCAACGGACTGAGCCACACAGGCACCCCTTAACCACTTTTAGGGGCGCCAGGCACATCACACCGCCGGACACCCGTCGATACCACCCAGTTGCACAACTGCTGTCGTCATCCCAAACTGAAACTTACTTCCTTTAAACAGTGACCCACACCCCCGTTTTCCCCTCTGCACCCCCCGCCCATAGCAGTCACCATCTTGGTTTCTGTCCCTGTGAACATGGCTACTCGAGGGAAAGTCCTACAGGTGAAACCATATAGTATTTGTGCTTTTGTGCCTGGCTTCTTTTGCCGAGCACAATGTCCTCAAGGCCCATCCACGTCGTACAGCGTGTCAGGACTTCCTTCCTTTTTAAGGCCAATATTCCATTGTGCAAACGTACACACCACACTGTGTTTATCCAGTCATCCATCATCAATGGATGTTTGGGCGGCTTCCACCGTTCTGGGCTGTTGTGAACAAGGCCGAAGGAACGTGGGTGTGCGCGTATCTCTTTGAGTTCCCCTTTAATGCTTCTGGGTATTTACCCAGAAGTGAAATTGCCGGATCATACGGTGATTCCACATAATTTGATATTAAGCCATAAGTTACATCTATCTTTTATTTTGTATCTTTCATAAAACGTAAGTTATATTTTTTTATGTGATATGTGATTAAATTTCTAATAATGGCTGTGTTGAACAACCAGCTCAGGAGATGCCTCAGAACGTAACAGCTGGCTGTCCCTCCCCTGGCACCCTCACCCCCCTGCATTCCTGCAGAGCCTCCTGACCGACCTGCTTCCCTCCATCCAGACCTCAGTGAGGCTTTAAGGTCCGATCACGTCACCTCCCATGGCCTTGTTCACACTTAGAAACAAGCACAGACTCCTTCCCTGGGCTCCCAAGGTCCCACGTGCCCTATCCATCTGGTTTCCTCCTTGGCCTTCTTCACACTGCCTTCTGCCTCAGGACATTTGTCTTAGCTGTTCTC